GGGGGGGGTTTGCTTAAATTTTCCAATTTTTCCGTTAATTCTTAGTTAGTAAAGGTTTGGTATCGACTTTAACCTGTTTGCCATTTTTCAATTTAATAAGTTATAGCTTCCTTACAACTTTTTTTGGTTATGTAACGCAATGATAACGCGCTTGTTTTTGTAACGGGAGAACCTGGGTTCGATTCCCGGTGCAACTTTAATTTAAAATAGCAACCTTAGCCATTTTAAATTACCCTTTTTATTTAAACTTGCTAATTTATTCCTTAAATATGCTATTGGGTTTTCCTTCCTTTACCTTCCAAATTTTTCCAAATTTAAAGCATTTTACAAATTTCGGGTTATTGCTAATTTTTTTTAAGCAATACTTTTGCAAACCCTTTTAGCAATTCCCAAAATTTGTTGCGTATTTCCATATATTGTATTTTTCCCTTTAGCCTTTTTATTTAACGAAATATTATTGCTTGCGGTAATGCGTTTTTTCGTTTAAAATAGCATTAACTTTTTACTTTTGGTTAAGGTTAATTTTTATTAATTTGGTGCTTTTAAAGCCCGGAAACGCTAATTTTAATAAAAAAACGTAAAAAATTGGGTGGATTTGCATGGTTGGAAATAGCTAAAATTTGTAATTAACCGGAAAAATAATTTGTTTAACCCGAAAAGGTTCGAATTTTTTTTTTATCCAGTTTATTGCTTGGCTTTTTTAGTTCAACGTTAGTACGCAAAAAATAAGCGTTATTTCCTTTTTTAAAAATTGGGTTTTCGATTTTTTTTATTGGCTTGCTTAACTATCCGCTAACGCAATACTTTTAATTTGGCTTAAAAATTTTGGTACAATTTAGTAATTTTTTAATTTCCAATTCCGTTGTTAGCACTTTTATTTTTTTTATTTTAAATATTCGGTACGCCGTAAGCGTATACCCATAATTTGCGTAAAACGGTATTACTTTCGTGTTATCGTGCATTAAATTATTATAAACAAATTGGGCAATGGGCAATAGCTATACCCAATTAATTTGTTTGTAATTAATGTAATATTGCAAATATTGCTTTATAATTTAATTCGTTCGTTCCGTTTATCCATTTATTTAAAAATAATACGCTATTAATAAAGCATATTTTGCTCCGAAAAAAGCTCGTAAAGGCCTTTTAAAATTTGTTTGTAAACAATTTGTTTCGGTTTATAATTAAACGCTACGAAATGCTATGCTTTGCTATTATATGCCGGAAAAAAATGTAAACCATTTGCGTAACGTTATTGCTTTTTTTATAAAATAAATACAAAGTATATTTAATAAATTTATTTGTTATTATTAATATATTATTATATTAAATGCCCGTTAATAGCTTTTTTAATTTAAAAAGCTTAACGATAAAATTTGTAATAATTTTTTGCTATGCTTTATTAAACGTTAGCAATGGTTAAAATAATCCATAAAAAAAGTGCTTATTAAATTTATTTTTAGCATACGTTTAGCAATCCTTTATTGCTTTTTGTGTTTCGGTTTGGGTTCCGGTAAACCCGTACGTAATGTTGCTAAAGCTTTTTCCAAATTTATATTACTTTTTAATATCCGTAAATTAGCAACCCGTAAATTTCGAAAATCCTGGCCGGGGTTTAATCCTTTGGCTTGGCTATTTTAACCAATACTTGTTAAGCTAAAATTAGCAACCCATTTGGCCCGTAAGCCAAAAGCGTCCTGGTTTTTTCCGGGATATCGATTTCGTGGTTAACCCTTTTGCTTAATGCATCCGCTTTGCCGTTTTCCAAGTTTTTGCAATATACAATTTCGATATCGTAATTTTAAACGTATTCGCTCCAACGGGTTTGCCGCTTATTTAAAGTTTAGCTAATGGTTTAATGCGTTAAATTTTTGTAATTTGTATAAATTACAACCTTGTGGTTAGCTTTGCATAAATATACCTTTTACTTTTCCAAAGCTCGAATAATAATTAATAACTTTTTATTGTATGTGTATTTATACGCTGTTATATTTATAAAAGAAACTTTAATGCTGCGGCTAAATACATGCAAATGGGGGAAAACCTTTGGGTTGGGCCTAAAAAAAAAAAACCCTATGCTTGCGTTCCCGCCTTTCTGGCGGTGCGCTTTCGTAGCGGTGTTAAACCGCTTTGGTTAACGCTTACTTTTTTCCACGCTTGATTGCTCGTAAAGGCTTTACCCGGGAATTAACCGTTTTCCCGCGTGCAGCCCTTTTTGCAAGGGGCCGACAAGGCCGCGTTTTGTTTGCTTGTGGTTAATTGGTTAATTCGTTGTTCGATTTGCCAAACTGGCCTTTTTGCTAAAGGGCTATAAATTGGGTTTATTTCGGTTAAAAAGGTTTTTTGCCGGTTTTTTTGCTTAAGCTTGTCCAAAGCGCTTAAAAGGCTTTTTTACGCATTTAATTTAATTTTTTTAGCACCCGGCCTTTTTTTTTCCCGTTACCGTTTTATTGGTTTAACTTTTTGCATTTTGGGCTATTTGGGGCGGTAAGGTTGGAATTGGGGTTAAGGGTTGCAAAAAGGCTAAAATTTGTAATTAATATTTAAAAAAAAAGGGATAATAATCGAATTTGTCGGTTTATGCGTGCGCTTGTTGGGGTAAGGTTGGGCCTTTTTAAAAGCCTTCCCGTTACTTTTTTTTTGGCCTAACCTTTTGCATTTTGGGCTTTTAAAGTAGTGCGAAAAGGGCTGGGAAAGGTTAGGGTTGGAAAGGTTAAAATCGAATTAATTGTTGGAATTATTAATTAATTGTGCGTAAGTAAAAATTAATTCGGGCAAAGCCCGTTAGCGGGGCGGCCCCTTTCTTTTTCCGGCCCAGCAAAGCGGGCGGCTAAAGAACAAAAAGTTCTTTGTGGTTTTAACGGGATTCGAACCCGTGGTTTTAGCGGGACCGGCTTGGTGCAGAGCCACTGCACTACGAGGCCATATATAAATAAAGTGAAATAAATTTAAAACTAAAATAAATAATAATAATAAAAGTATTAAAATAACAATAAAATTAATAATTAAAAAAATTAATAAAAAAAGTAATAAAAAAGCAATAACTTAAATTAACTAATTTAATTACTTAAGTAATTTATTAGTTAGTTAAAATAAGTTAAATTTACCGCCGTAACTGTTTTAGTAAATTAAAGTTACGGTAGTAACTTAACTTACTAACTTAATTCCCAACATTAACTATAGCTAATATAGTAAAAATCCTTACCAATTAAAAGCAAGCGTTGCTTAAAGCAGCACCGGCCCCAGTGTTTAAAAAATGGGTAGCGTTTATTTACAGCCCGTTTAGCAGTAACGAAAATAATAATATAATAAATTAATTTAACAAATGTTGCGTTAAAAAAAGACGTTTTCTGCTTGCGCGCAACGACAACAACGACATACAGAAAAACTAAAGCCATTACGAAAACCGGAAACGCCAATTTGCTTAAAAGCTAAACGAGCTCGATAATACCCCGAAGCGCCGTTGCGGCGTCGATGGAAAAGGCCATTGGCTTTAACCAATCGAAATACGCAATACGCAACGGGAATTACCCAAACCAGTAACAACTACGACAAAAACCAACCGCAAGCCCGAAAAAAACCCAATTAATTATTGCAATAATGCAATTCGTAAAAAAATATTTCTAATTGCTTAATAAAAAAAAAAAATTACGGCCGCCAAAATTATTGCGAAATTTATTTAATACGTTAAAGCAATTAATTAAATAACCGCAATTTTAACGATTTTAACGGTTAACTTTAACGCAATTTAAACGATTTTCCAATTTTTCGAACAAATTAAAACCATATTAAAAAAAGGACCAGGCGTAATAAGTTGCGGCCGCAAATGGAAAAAGTAAAAAATAAATTTAAATTTAAGTAACCGCAAAAGCGCAAACCGCTTTCAAAGCACCCCAAGCAATAAAAGCTAAAAAAGCGATAACATTTACGATTAACGATAAAATCCTTATTGTTACCGGAAATAAAAAATTAAAAAATAAAACCCAAAAAAATTAAGCGGATTTGCAATAAGGAATTGGGTAAAGGTTGGGTCGAAACGGTTTACCAATACCCGTTAAAAAACGTTCGTTTGCATTTCCAAAATGCCAATACCCGTTAACAAACGGAAAAAAAATGCTGGTTCGGGCCGGGAACGAACGATATAAATAAAAGCATGGAAAGGGTTGCGGATAGCTACGGCAATTTCGCCGCAACGAACCGGCTACGAACGTAATACGCGCTTTTTGCGGTTTAGGATACAACCGGATAAACGAACGGCTTAAAAATTACTAAATTAACGATAGCTTTAGTAATAACGGGCTTACTAACTAGCAAATTCCAACCTTTTTTTAACGATAAAAGCAAAGCAAAACATTAATTAAAGCTAATAAAAGCATTTAGCGCTAAAAACCTATATGGAAACATCGAACGGGTTACCGTTTCGTTATAAAAAAAAAGGTAACAAAAAAAAGTAACAGCGTTGCTCCAAATTGCAAGCTTAAAAAGCGCAATAAATTCGCAAAAGGATTATTTCCGATGGAATGGGTTGGCATATTAATGCTAACCTTTTAACCCTAAATTAACTACGGCGCAATATTACCGCTATTTAAATTGGAAATACAAAAGCATGCAATGCAAATAAATTACGGCATATGCGTAATATAAATTAAAGGAATACAACGATAAGCGGTATAAAAAAAAAGGAAATAACAAAAAAATAGCCGAAAAATATGTTTAAAGCATTTTATATTCCGTGCAACAAAATTAAATATCCATTTTATTTTCCGCATTGCCCGGTGCAAAAACAAATTTAACAACGCAAAAAAAAAATTTGGCTTACGAAATTTACCCATTACGAAATCCCGATAATTTCCATTTCGAAATCGTTGCAAACCGAATTGCCGCCGGAAACGGGGCGGGCAAAATCCCCCTTTTTACCCTGGGAAAAAGCAGCTTTTATACGGGAGCAAAAAGGAACCGATTAAGCAAAAAGGAGCAATAGCCCTTTTGCAGTAATTTTTTTTTAAATACTAATAACAATTCGAAATATAACCTTGCCAACCAAAAAAACCCTTACATGCAGCGAAATTAACGCAAAGTTAAAATTACCTTTTTTTCGATTAATTTTATTTATAAAACGGAAATTTTTTTTTTAAAATTGGCCAAACGATTTATAAGAAAGTTTAAAAAGTTTTATACGGTAAAACGAAAAAACGCA